AAAATTTTATTACCAAAAAATGTTACCAGTTCTTGCCACCGCGATTCTAATTCAGCTATGAAGAATTGTGCAAATTCTGGCATTGCATATTTCACGGGGCAATAATTTGTTACCAGCTTATGAGATGGTGACAAAATTTACCGGATACAAGAGTACACAGAATGCGAAAAGGGTTTCAAAATTAACAGGAACTTTAATTACCGGTTACAAACTTTTTATTACCAGCGCAGAATAGACCTGTAAATCGTCGGCCGAAGAAGTTTGTATGCAGTGTGCAGGGGCTCTTAAATATTTGAATCATGACCAAAGCGAATGTATGAATGCGGCTTGCAAGGCGAATTAATATAAGGTGATAGCAGGAGTACAAAAACAAAAATTTACATGTGTTTTGTTATTGCTTTATTGCTCATTATCGACGATTTCGACAGCATCCATATAGCATGTGATCGATAAAGCAGTAGTTGTATCTAACCGGAGCTTCTACCTCCGATTTGTGCTAATCAGACATTGAACAACCGGCCCTAAGAATGTGTGTAGAAATTCAAACAAAATTTTTCATTTTGATATCAGAAGCCGTGCGGCGAAACACATACACAAAATCAGCTGAGCTAGTAACACCACCTCATGGACGAAAGACACAAGATCACGTAAGAACAAGAGAGTGAAAAAAGTAGATTTTTTAGCGGGTTCTACGCCATCTTGTTTCACTGGAAAACGACCGAAAAGTAAACAAAGCAAAAAAAACAACGAAAACCAAAATTAGCCAAAATTATTGTCAGACACTTTAAGCGCACAATTTATGTAAAATGATGCAATAAAATGCTTAAAAATGTGTTGTCATGTTGAATTAACTCTTCTTTACTTAAAATAAAGTGTAAAATAGTGGTGCTTGTGATGTAAACAAACGCTCAGCTGACGAACCCGCTTTTTTCTCAAAACCAGTTACAAATACAACGTCGCGTTCTTTTTGGTTTATGACACCACCTTATATAACTGCCCTTCTCCACAGGATAAAGTTTATATCTTGATACATATGTTAGAATATAAATAGCCAATGGAGACCGCTCATTACTCTTCAAGAGCAATATATAGGCCTGCTCAAACAGGCGCGGTGCGGTACAGCGCGGTATAATCCCGTACGATACGCGGTAACGATATACGCAAAGGCACTCAAACAGGCGCGGTGCGGTATAGTAAGAAACATTGTTGCCATGTGACGAGCTCAAATTAACGGCATTCTACGCATTCCTCTTTCTAAATTTATATATTATAAATCCGATTTTCGCAATGGATAGCTCAAGCTCTGAGGACGAATTATTGCTATTAGCAGTAGAGCTGGGCTTTCTAGTTCATTCCAGAGATTTAGTTCTTTTGTTCTTTTTTTAATGAACGAACAAGTTGTTCTTTTTGTTCATTAGTTCTTTTTTTTGTTGTAAGCAACTTTGTTCATTGTCATTGTTGAACAATCTCGTGCCTACGAAACAGGTGTACAGAATAAATCAAGGCCGTGTATAACATACATATTTAGGGTATTCACAAGACGTGTTAACCGTCGTGAAATCTTAAGCTTAACATTTTTTTAATGTAAAATAATGATTAAAATGGTTTTAGAGGATTTTTAACTACACCGAAATGTTTTTTAACTGACAAAAAATTATAAATAGCCCACCTAAAACCATTTTAACCGTTGTTTTACATACAAAAATGTTAAGCTTAAGATTTCACGACGGTTAACACGTCTTGTGAATCCCTTAATTGTGCATTTATATTTTATAATAAAAAGCAATTTCAGTAAAATTGCATTTTGTTATTTGAGCGAAAGTTAAGATGCATATACATATTTGTATGTATGTATCATTGACCTTCAACATTCTTAAAAGTCCCGAAAAAGTTTGAAAGGTCTCTTAAATATCTCGAAACGTCACTAAAATATTCCAATGTATAATTTTGAATTAAAATTTTTAAATTTAATTAATGTAATTGTATTACAAAACATGTTTTTAATAAATTTAAAGATGAAATTTTTTTACATATTGTTATGTAAAAAACGTCAGGTGTGTCAACTTTTCAGGCAATAAAACGGATCTTCTGTCGGTAATAATTTGCCCTGCTACTGAAAAAATCCTCTCGCAAGGTACAGAAGTTGCAACAATACAGAGACGTTTCAAAACATAGGCATATAAGCGAGGATATATCTTTTTCCGCTCACACCACCACTTGAGTGGATCATCTCTTCTATTTAAATATTCCTCGTTTAAATACTTATCAACTTCTCGTGTTGCTGCCACAATGGTATTCATCGAACTTGTTACCAAAAGGAATTCAGAGTCGTACTCGTCCCAAATGCTTCGCCTCGGCTGAAAATTGTTTACGTTCTGTTGAAATGTCTCAACTTCTTCAACCCTGGCACTTTCTGCTGGTTGTATTACTGTTAACTTTTTTTTGAATTGCTCTATTGCGCTTTTGTATGCATACTCATTTTTGAAACCACGCCCTTTAAATCGAGGGTCGAGTATTGTACTTTCTGCATATAAAATATTATTTTCAATTTTAGAAAAACGTGTCATCATCTCTGTTTGTAGCACTTTTAAAACACCCCTAACGTCTTCTGAGTTGGCAACCTTTCCTGCTATGAATTTTTGCAGCATTTTGCAAAATATAGTGACCTGTAGGGATAATTTTTTTTTACTATTAGCATACATACATATGTACATATATTGTCTCTAAGTCTTACAACCTTGGAAAGAGTAACGTTCTGCTCAGCGGACAACTCGGTACTCACTTCATAAAATGGCTTCAATACGGGTACTATTTCTTCTATTATAGCCCACTCCTGGTGAGTCATACAAAGGTCAGGCTTAAGACGTGACAGAACTACATTTAAGGCATCTTTAACCTTTAATAGACGATCAAACATCTCATATGTTGAGTTCCATCGCGTTTGCACATCAATTTTTAATTTTAATTCAGGCATATTTAATTGTTTTTGTGTTTCCATTAGTTTTTGTAACCCATTAGCGCTTCGATGAAAAAACTCAGCAATCGCTTTTGATTTTATTTTAATACTGTCTAGTTGTTGCAATCCTTTTTGAACTATTAAATTAAGTGTGTGTGCGAAACATGGGACTGAACGCCATTGTCCTATCTTTATTGCTCCAATAATATTTGCTGCATTATCTGACACAACTGCTGTAATTTTATTAGAAATTTCCCACTCATCCATTATTTTTCTCAGTGTTGCACACAGGTTGTCACTGGTATGACGCTCCGCATTTTCGATACAAGCTATAAGGTGAGATTTTAATATACCTTTTTCAGGTTCTACGAAATGTGCGGTTACTGCAATATAACTTTGATTGGCCCTCGATGTCCATGCATCTGTGCTCAAGCACACAGCACTTGCCAAACGTATCTCTTCGTGTAGTTTCGCCTTTAGTTCATTATAAACGTTTGGCAAAAGCGAGTTTGACAAACTTTTGCGCGTAGGAAGCTTGTATCCTGGGCAATGAGTGATCATTTCAATTAGATTTTTAAACTCGGAATCTTCTACAATGCTAAGCGCATGATTGCCTTTTCCTACCATTTTAAGAACCTGACGGTCAATTAGCTCTACTTTTCGAGTTGGAGGTGGTCGTCGGATAAAATTACTAATTATTTGTTGGCCCGCAATAGATACTAATCCTGTAGTTGATGTTGGCTGCTGTGTTTCCAACGACGATATCTCTTGCCGAACGACGGCTAAGGTGACTGTTGGGTGCTTCACCTTCAAATGCCGAGCAAGATTGCTTTGCGACCCACCTGCTATGCTTAATGTAGCCTTACAATACACGCATTTCCCACTCTTGCCGCCTTCACCTACAATAAAATGGTTCCATAGCTCGGAACGCTTTCTTTTTTCAGCCATAAGAAAAATTTTGTAGGAACAATAAAATGTTGAGTATTGGTGAGAAATTTTCAAGATAACAGTAGTTTGAAAGCGAAAACAAGTGTTGCCGTAAGTTTATTTTACGGCTAATAAATTAAATGGCAGTGTAGCCAGAAATAACCTTAGCAATGATCATTGCTGGCAGGGGATTTATTTGCTAAATAACAATTGTAGCGCCCTGGTAACACTCTTAACCAAGTCTTTATTCATCGACATTCATGATTCTTGAACAAGAAGAACGAAAAGAGCGACATAGACAAAAAGAACTAGAAGAACGAAGATCAAAGATTTAGTTCACTAGTTCAGTTAAAAGACCCGGTCAATTGAACAAGTTCAGAACGAAACGACCCAACTCTAATTAGCAGCACTTCTCGATGAAGAAAACAGAAGGTATGAATATGCCTATATCGTTGTTTTATCCTGCAAAGTTCTTAATTTATGTATATGTTTTAGAAAAAGATGGGTTCACGAAATAAATTTGAGAAGAGAAGAAGATGGTGAATTTTCCAGCCTGATGCCCCAACTGCGTAACCACGAGGAAAGATTTTATAAATATTTCCGCATGCTCCCTGAATGCTTTGATGAAATACTAAATTTAATAAGGACTGATATTACAAAGCAACACACAAATTGGAGGGAGCCAATATCTGCAGAAGAGCGGTTAATGATAGCCTTAAGGTAATAAGTTTATTTAAAAATAAGTTTACAGGTGATTAAAAAATATGAGTCATTTAATCTTCGAAGTTTGAAAAATAAGCAGCTAGTGAATCCTGTGTGTAACTTTCTGTTGAATTGCTTTCTGTTTGCGGGCAACTTTCTTTTTCGTTTTGCTCTACCAAATGATCAATCTCATGTCGCATTATAATTTTGGCGAATTCATGTTTTACTTCCATTTGCCGCTTTAGGGAAAAAGTTTTTATTGTCTTAGAATAGCCAAGAAATATGTGATCGGTGCCATCTAGATCCGTGCGGCTGCGCTTATTTTTTATATGACCAATTATATCTTCAACAGCAGACTGTGAAGTGCTTCCACGTTTTCGCACAGAAGTTGTGGATGGTGTTGAGCTGCAACTCGGTTCTTCATCTAATATTTCTTCTTCGGTCGGAATTTCATGAATATTGCTCACTGTTGAAGCAAAAGAAAGAAATGGCTTAAAATACTGCATATGCGTTGCCCATTGCCAAGTTTTATATCGCTGTGCGCTTTGACCGGTTTTTTTGCTGCAATCCTTAAGTGCTTTGCATAGGAGTCTCTCAAATTTTTCCACTTTTTTTCACAGTATCAACTGAAAGTAAAAACATGTTTATTTTCAGATTTTTATCGACTAAGGACAGCTTTTCTACAATTGGACACAGTTTCAGAGTCGGATTCACTACCGTTAGCGCAATCGTGGAAGAAGTTTGCGAAGCAATTTGGTTACGTATGCAGCCCATTTACATGCCTCAGCCAACAGAAGCCATATGGAAAAATTCAGCAGAGCAATTTTACGAAGCATGGCAGTTCCCAAATTGCACAGGAAGTATCGATGGGAAGCATGTTACAATAAAGTGCCCAAAAAATACTGGTTCGCAACACTTCTGCTACCTAAAACAATTTTCGGTGGTTCTTTTAGCTATTGTTGGAGCTGACTTTAAGTTTTTATGTGTCGACATAGGAGGTTATGGCAAAAATAGCGATGGAGGCATTTTTGAAAACTCCAGCATGGGAAAAGGTTTGAAACCGGAAATTTTTGCATTCCGGAAAGTAAACCTCTACCTGAAGAAACTGAACCGACTCCGTTCGTTTTAGTTGGGGATGAAGCGTTTGCTTTAAAGACCTATCTCATGAAACCTTTTCCAAGATGAAACATCTACAACACAAGATTTTTTTTATTGCGCACAAAAATAATAGGTAATGATTTATACTAGAGATGGGCACGGGCCTAAATTTTCAGGCCCGGCCCGGCACGAGTGTAAAATCAACTTTCAAAAACACGCACAAGCCCGCACGTTAAGAATTTTAGTGGGGCCCGGCCCGGCCCGGCACGACTTTTATTGTATGTATACATATGTACATAATTTTAATTTTGTGTTTATGTCCATATGTATATTTACTTAAGCGAATCAATATTTTACATCAAAGATTTTTATAATATATTTTCTGTGAAGTAGAAAAAGTGGAAGGTATTTTATGTACAGATATGTATGTAAACAAAACTACTAAGTATCATATATTTTCTATCGGTTTCCAAATATTTCTTTTTTTGCTTTTCTCTTATCAAAGAGTTTTAAATATGTACTATTTTTTTTTTGTATAAAACCAAAAGCTCGTCTAAATTTTTAGTATTAGCAACGGGCTTTTTCGTGCCTTTTCGTGCTTTTATGAAATTTTACTGAACGCCCAGGCCCGCACGAGTTCGTGCTGACAGCAAATATTCCAGCCCGTACCCGTCTCTATTTTATACACAACACGTTAAATTACTGACTTACATTCTTCGTTCAGTTCATCACCTAATGTTTTCCAAATTTCATCTTTTTTTGTATATTTTTATATTCAGGATGTTTTAAATCGTATGAAATTGGATAGCATTTTACCAGCTCAATTAAACGCTCCATTTTGAACGTTTTGCGAAAGAATTTAAAATTCCAGTAAATTTATCGTTCATATTTCTGAGCAACATTGCCAGATTATATTTTTTAACAAACGAAAAAGTTCAACTTTATTTTATTTATTTTGTGAGAAGTAAAACCAAAGAATATCACATTTATGCCAACAAATGTATTACGAGCACTTTTAAACTCATGTTTTTTATAATGAAAAAGGTAGAATTTATAATCTATAGCACTTTTGTAGATAAAATATGTGGTAGAACTCTAGCTCTAAATTATATCTTATATCTTCTTATACCACGCGGTGAACGCTGCATGCTGCGGTAGAATTCTGTACCACACTTCCAATACCGCGTCTGTTTGAGTGCTCCCATATACCGCCATGGTATTTGATACCGCATATCGTACGGGATTATACCGCACCGTGCCGCATCGCGCCTGTTTGACCAGGCCTTTAATCAGAGCTTATATCTTGCCATCTATTGCCGGCAATTTGGTAGTTTGAGAGCTACATGTTCATTTGCATGAAAACTTCGTGGCGGCAACATTATTGATATTTTAATATAAAAGCAGATAATGAACTGTTTTCGGTTAAAATATTTGTTATTACGTAATTGGATGTAAAATAGCCTATTTTCTAAATTTTTTAAGTGATTAAATCCGGCAAAAATACGTTTTAGAAGCTATCTCACAGATGCCTATATCAAGATATAAAAAGCCCACACAAATATTGCCACTGATATAATTTATATCTAGCCACCAAAATGACAGCTGGACAGCAATAAATTTTATCCTATGGAGACGGCCAGTAAATTCGCCTTGGCGGCTTGCTTTTCCCTTTCAGACACGTCAAGTCTTGCTTTCAAGTCTGTTCGTTCGTTAGTGATGGCGGGGGGAAGAGAGGGGAGGAGTACAGATACCTACGTACCGTCAATTCGTTTCAAGTTTTCTTGTTCTCTTTTGATCTTTTCGTTGCTTCCCATTTAAAGATCCGAGGACTTGAATTCAATAAAACTTGACGCGTGTGGAAGCAAAGAGAAAACACAAAAGAGAATGCGATAGAAATTGCTTTCAAGACTTGACGTGTTTGAAAGGGGACTTAGCTGTCAATTGTCGGTGTCGATTTCCAAACCAATTTCCTGCAGGCCGTCTTTGTTTATTATTTTTTATAACTAGATAGGTCGGGCAGCATAATGATTATTTTTTCTACTTGTTTTCTATTTATGTAAATTATTTATTTCTTACAGCTTGGTTTGCATATTGTTTAAAAGGATGTCGATTTACATAATTTGCTTAACAACAAGTGGAGGTCTACCAGTGTTTACTCGCAAAAAAGGGGACTGCGATAATGTAAGTTAAAATAATGATCCTTTTTTGCATTTATTGGTAAATTGATCTTTTCAGTTGCCCTTTTCTACTGTGGCTTCACTAAATGGTTTTCATATGTTCTTCAAATCACTGGGTATAACCCTGCAAGTAACATATTCTGAGGATTGGACTTATGTTTGGCGAGATTTCCACAATGCTGTCACGTTGATAGTTTGTGCCCGTTCAATGTCTGAAGCGGTCCTGCAGTCACTAGCCGACGTAGTGTTTGGTGCAATTGCACTATTTGTTAATTATAAGGAGCTTGTTGATTTAACTTTGTTGGATCGGATGAAGAAGGAGGCAAGAAATTATGTGCCATTAGTAGATGCGGCATTAGAAGCGTGCACAACGCGCATATTAGGATTTACCGACTGTATACTATCAACGGAAAATCAACAATTGGCGCAGCGACTAAACGATTTTAGTGACCTTTGCGGTTCGCTTTTCTGCTGCCTTGTCGTTGGAAATAACGTAGCAGTGGGTACAGAAGGCTGGTGGGATTTGGATCCAATAGATCGTGAATTACTTTTATTATTACTAAATTCGTCGAGTACTATACAGAATGATGTCCCTGTGTATTTACCAAAACGAGATTCAACGGTGAGCAATTTTTGATTGATGATGGATTAATATAGTGTGTAATTTTCTATTTCTAATCAAAAAAGTTGGCATATCGTTTCGTAAGTATTCCATTAGCGCCA